AGACTGCAGAGTCAGCTGTTCAATTCCATCTGAATTCAAAGAAGTGCACTGTGCACATGACATCATATGAGATCATATTACAGAGCATTTGGCAAAATGAGCATAGAGAATTATTATTATTATTATTATTCTTCCATTATACTCATATGCAAGCGGAGTTTATGATGAGTCCTTGCGTGATGTTAAATACAGGCCAAGTGTTGGTTATACAGGAGGAAATACAGGTGTTGAGACCATGCCAAGATAACAAGAACATAGGAAATACAAAGGAGTGACAATTAGATACATGCGATAATAACTTCCCAGCCCAGGAACATAGAGCGATTTATTGAAGCAATTTGTACACCTCTGTATTTATTAGGAACCTGAGGTGCTTGGGTTCCGGATTTAATGTATCCCCTGCAGGTTTCGAACCCACACACCTTGGTTTCCCATGCCAAGGCGCTACCGGGTGGCCGCATTAACCATTCAGCCACCGGGGCAAGAGCATAGAGAAGAGTATAAAGAATGTAAATACTATAGAGAATATATAAAAGAAGCAGAATGAAAGAAAGAATAAAGATTTGAAGATTAATCTAAGTAAGAGTATTTAAATATTTTTAATAGAATGTACATAATATTATATTACAGTGTTTTTTACATGAAAAAGTTAATTGTAAGAGATCTACACTGAATAGATCAGTATAATATACAGATTTTATATAATAAAAGTAAAAAACATTAGAAAAGAAAAATAAAAGAGAAAGTGTAAAAATCAGTAATTAGAGTGAATATTTATATATATACAAGATAAAGCTTATAAAGCTTCAGAGCAGAAGAATAGAAATGAGTGAATATTTATATATATATAAGATAAAGATTTGAGATGAAAGAATAGAAACTCTGTAAGTTTTTCAGTTAAAAATTAGTAACTAAGAATCAGAACTTTCAGTAGAAATCTATAAAGTGTAATAAAATAATCTATTAATTAGATATAGTCTGCTATATTAACTCTCTCTTTTTAGAAGTAATATAGAGTTATAAGTATATAGTTCTCATCAGTCAAAAGCTGTTATTTCAGATAATATGAAGCTCAGAGTTCAGATTAAGTAATTATAACTAACTTATTTTATAAGATATTATTAGCTATAGTTATAGAGTCTTTTATTAAGAATATCTTTAATCTCTTATTCAAGTTTCTTATCTTCTTCTATAATCTCTGATAATTATTAATTGAAAGTTATTATTATTATTATTATTATTCTTCAATTATAGATGTATGCAGTCAGAGACTATAATATCTACCTGAGAACTTTTAGTTCTCAGAGTTTTTCCTATATCTGTAAAGTTAACTATTATACATTTATCAATTTCAGATATATAAAATCAGAAAATTTCAGCTTAGAATATAAAAACTGTTTATAAATTACAGTATTGTAACATCTTCTGATACTTTGAAATCATTTAACAATATCATGACAAAAGAAAAAAGAACACAGTTTTAAAGATAGACACATTAAATAGATAGATAGAAAAGAATTAAAAGAAAAAGATAAAGTAAAGAGAGACTGTAATAAAATAAATTATTAAAAAATAGTATATATCTGTTTTAACAGACTATATCTGATTGATTTTCTACTCTTCATATTCAGATATGTCTGAATTTAGTCATTTTCTTATAGCTGCTTGAGTTTCTGATAGAAAGTCTATTAAGTATTTAATTTCTATCTTAGTTGAGAATAAGAATCTTATATTTAATTAATTTAGATTATACTTCTCTTTCAATCTGACTATGAGACTATTGTATAATACACAGTGTATTATAATATACTCAGAATTCTCATTTACATTGCAGAATAAGCATTCTATTGAATTAAATCTATTATTAAATCTTTGTATATAAAATTTGAAATAGTCATATTCTAGTTTTAGCTGTATTATAGATGAGAATATTTTCTTTTTACATTTAATTAAACAAGATTTTCACTTGAGTTTTATTTTAAATCTTGAATAATGTATACTCTTTTTTTATTTCTGTCAGCTTTTATTTCACTTGTCTAAACAAGATTCTTTTATTTTTCTCTTTATAAAAGATCAGGATACAATTTTTTGAATAGATCTGCTTAATTCTGAACTCTTTTTTACAGCTGAATCAGTCAATTTATTGTCATGAATATTCATATGAGCAGGAACTTAGTGCAGATAAATTATTAGCTTTGATATTCTTCTCTTTTGAATTTTTAAAACAGAGTTTAAGATCAGTTTAAGATTCATTTAATTACTATAAATCTGACTATTTCTAAGTCTTTTTAAAGCAGCTTGACTATCAGAGAATATTCATATCTCTTTCAAACTATTTTCTCTTTTATAAGATTTTATTTCAATGAGTTTGAAAGCTTTCACTATTATAAATAGTTCAGCATCAAAGACTTCAGATTCACAGTCTAAATTTCAGAAATCTAAGATAAAATTGATATTATCTTCAGTATAAGCAATGTCTGTATCTAATCTATTCAAATTCTCATTTTTGAAGTTATCTGAATAAATCAGAATAGAGTCTTCTATATTAATTCTAGAAATTCTCTTCAAATACTGTTTATATTCTTTCTTCTTAGATAGTTCACTT